ATTGTAAAATCATTTTTTTATGTGTTTCACACCGTGTGTAAAATCAGTTGTGTAACAACAACGTTCCCTCCTGTTGTGTAAATTATGTGATTTAGTACGTGTCTGTAGATCGTACGCGATCTTTTTTTATTTAATACGAAAAAAAATAACGATGTGTACGATTTGTCGCAGACATGAGAAACGTGTACTTGTCCTAAGCCCATTTTCTTGCGACGATGGGTTAAGTCTTGCGACGGGCAATTATCACGTCTGCTTTGTCCTAAGCCCGTTTTCTTGCGACGATGGGTTAAGTCTTGCGACGGACTGGCACTGTCTTGCGATTCCTTAATACAAACCTTTCTTTCATACGTCGCAGGCAACTCTCACGAGTATTCAATAATTGTCCTAAGCCCATTTTCTTGCGACGATGGGTTAAGTCTTGCAACGGGCAATTATCACGTCTGTGCTTTGTCCTAAGCCCGTTTTCTTGCGACGGACTGGCACTGTCTTGCGATTCCTCAATACAAACCTTTCTTTCATACGTCGCAGACAACTCTAACGGGTATTCAATAATTTTCCTAAGCCCATTTTCTTGCGACGATGGGTTAAGTCTTGCGACGGGCAATTATCACGTCTGTGCTTTGTCCTAAGCCCGTTTTCTTGTGACGATGGGTTAAGTCTTGCGATTCTTCAACACAAACCTTTCTTTCGTAATACGTTCATTCTATTAAATAAAAAGTCCAACATTGTTATTAATATTGTCAAGTGAAATATATCGAGTGGGTATGTGATTTATAGACCCTTTTTCACGGTTTGAAAATTTTACAGCTAATATATATTTCATAAACCACGTAGAAAATTTCGAGTCCAAGAATTTTTTCTAGATAACATAATTTAAGTTTAGGAATTAGTTTCTGTTTCACTTTGATTTTTGTTTAGCAAGTACTACCTTAATTTATAAGTTGCTTAGATAAAGTTATATTTAAATTTCACCATCAGCAAAAAAATATAAATCACAGAATTTATACCAGACTCATATTTAAGAGTATAAAACATCTTTAATATGTTGTTCTGAATAACAATTAATATTCATCAATCAGTTTAGTCATGGTTTAGTCATAATTTTCTGGAGCGAAGCGACAGACTCATACTTTTATATTCTTGAGCCGAGTAAATAAATATTTATGTTTGTGTTTTGTGAACTACTTTTGCTGCTTTTAACTCTAATTATTGATATGGCCTTTAGATTCTTGAGCGAGTGAAATGGTTAGAAAGGTATGTATAGTAAATAACTATTTATGTTCGTGTTTTGTTGCCCGATTTGCTGATTTTAACTCTAATAATTAATAAATAATTATTAGATTCGTGAGCCGAATGAATGATTAATGCTAATGAAACAGTTTAAAGAGAATGTGTAGTAAATAAGTATTTATGTTCGCACTTTGTGAACCGTTTTGTTGATTTAACTTCAATCATTAATTTGTGAACCATTTAACTTCAATCATTAATAAATAGCTTTTATATTCTCGAGCCGAATGAAATGATTTCAAGGATATACGGATATACTGTATATGGTAAATACGTATTTATTTTGTGTTGTGAACTGCTTTTGCTGATTTTAACTCTAATTATTAATTATTAATATATATACCTTTAAATTCTCAAGCGACTGAAATAATTGATGCGAGTGAAATGGTTGGAAAGGTATGTATGGTAAATAATTATTTAAGTTCGTGCTTTTTAACCGATTACCAATTTTAATTCCAATAATTAATAAATTACCATTAGATTCGTGAGCCGAAATGGTTTGAAGAATATGCATAGTAAATAAGTATTCATATTTGTAAATAAAACAATAAAAAAATTAAATTGACAAAAAAAAATAAAATTGAAAAACGATAAAGAAATTAAACATACGGTTTCTTTGAAAAATGAATTCAAAAGTCCGCGTACTTAAGAGAGGTCGGAAAGAAACTCGCCAAACTTACAAAGGCTATTTTTCAGATGAAGCAGGTATATTTTTTATTGTCAAACTCTTTCCATTGTGAGATCGCCCGAGTTATTATTTTAGATGTAGTGAAAGAGTGTAGTCATAGATAATAGTAAAAGTAATACATCGGTGATTTGTTGCCGTTCCACAGGGGATGAGAAATCTAACCAACTCCTATTTAGATTTCTTTTGTAAGGTTACCTGATGTTGCCAAGGATGATTACATTGGTATGTTTCTTTGGCAAGGTGATTCATTGCGGTTCCATAATGTGACATAAAATTTCTTTATATAAGATCTACTAATTTTAGAGAAGGGATTAGTTTTGCACCTTCTTATTATAGGAAATTTATTTATTAACATAGTATTAACCATTTATTACTGTATTATATTTTTATACTAGGGTGACAAGAAAAATAGCCTGCCTATTTTTGGTAATAGTTAAGTCACTTTATTATATATATTATAATTAAACATATATTAATAGTATGAAATAATAGAAATAATAGCTTTAATGAATGATAAAAGTGAATATAAAACAGATTCAAGTAGTACACTATTGGATAACAGTATTGATGAACCAAAAGAGATGGTAAAGGTTTTTAAAATATATACTATTTTTATATTTTTTAAGTTTGTACATTATAAGTTAAATTTCAAACTCTACTATTTATTTTAGGTGTTTAAAGAAAATTGTAAAAAGATTTTTATTTAGAATATTTTAAAGTTTCAAAAGTAAGTATGTGTTTAGTTTTTTAATGTTTTTTATATTGTATATTGAAACTAAGAGTAATTTGATTAGGTTTTAAAAGAGTTGGATATTTAGAAAAATATAAAATTTTTTGGTTTTTTGATATTAAATTTTATTATACAAAATAATTTAATAAAAAAACAAATTAATATAATAAAAATAATAGATTATGGTTAGTTTTTTATTTTAATTGTTAGTCATATAAACTTTATATAAATTTAGATTTAAGTTGTTTTATTTTTTATTTTTTTATTTTTATTTTTTTAAATTCAGCAGTTATACTTTAACTTTATTAGGCTTTGTATAAATCTTCTAGACTGGTAAAATTTTACACTAGGTTGCATTTCAGAAGGTAAGTGATAAACTCTTAACTTGTTGGCAGA